TGTGGACATGGTGAACGGTCTCATCTAAGAGAGCGGCGTTTAGCCTGCGGTGACCCTGGGGTCACTGTACGACCCGGCGGGCCAGTATTTACCAAGCCAGATAGCTAATGACTGTGAAGACTGTAGTTTGTTTCTTCAGCTGTCACTGTGTGCTAGGGACAGGCTCAGTATTTCTGTCTTACATTAGAGAGTGCCTTTTAGTGTGGAGAAATATACATCACAGGAAGCGTACCACTGTGTAATCACTTTAATATGTCCGACTCGGGCATGAAGTGCATTCACAGTGCTGTACAATCAGCACCACTACCCAGTTCCAAAGAGAAACCTCACACCCACACTTAGTCACTCGCCACCCCAGTCCCAGTGATCATCAACCTGCTTTCTGTCTGCAATTTCTCTCCCTTTTGGACATTTTGGACCATGTAAATGGTCATACAACAGGTGACCTTTGGGACTATCTCCTTTCACTGAGCATCATGTTTTCCAATGTCATCCATGTTGTGGCATGTCTTAGTACTCTGTTCCTTTTTATGGCTGAGTAATATTCTGTATGGATATACCACATTTTGTTTATCCATTTAGCCATTGATGGACATTCGGGTTGATAGCAGATATTTTACCACCTCGTACTGACTGTGTCTGCAGACTTATACAAGGTTCTCTTGTGCTGCTTGAAGCAGGCCCAGGAGGGCAAGTGCTGTCCTGATTTGACAGAGGCATCTGTGACTCAGAGAGGGGCAGTGACTTCCCTAGGATCACACAGCAGTAAGGTTGCAGATATAGAACTCAAAACCATGGCTTTCTGACCCCCGAGCCCAAACATCAGATAGCTGTGTCCCCTCCCACTCTCAGGTTGCTACATACCCTGCAGAGGACAATTTCATAGCTCAAAGCTGGCTGCACCTCCCTGGAATTATCTCAGGATTGTTTAGGAAAAAAAAAATCTTGGGGCCAGCACACGGCATAGTGGTTAAAGCGCTGGACTCCCACATGGCTGACCGCAGTATGAGTTCTGGACGTGGCAGCTTGAAACTCATGCCGGTGTGTGTGCGTGCATGCCCAAGCTCCCGAGAGGAGAATAGAGGAAAAGGCATTGCGGTGTGGCCATCACCCCGGGGGGGTGATTTCTTGCTTTCTATTTGTCTGTCTCTCTGGCCAGTGCATATGCCTTGTCGCAAAAATTTCTCAACCTCCCCCCTGAAAAACAAAACAATTTTCACTCTCAGACCATTTAAGTCAGAATCTCTACAACCATCATTTTCAATCAGGTGTAGGCTCTGTATCCCTCTGACCCAGGGGACACTTAGCCATGTCTAGGGGCATTTTTTTTTAAAAGAATTGTTTTCTTTAATTTTGTTTTTCATTATTATTATTACTTAATTTGACCAGAGAGAGAGAAAGAAAGTGAGACAGCAAGCCTCCAGGTCTGGGACTTGAACCATGGTCGGCCATGGGGAGTCTAGAACCTTAACTACTGTGCCACCTGCCAGCCCCTGGAGACAGTTTGCATTGTTATGGGAGTGGTGGGCACTATTGGCATCTAGCAGGTGGAAGCTGGGGATGGTGGGCAGGGTATCCCACAGAGCACAGGACAGCCCCCACTGGAGAAAGATCCAGTCCAGATGTCAGAGGTGCTGAGACTGACTAACCCTGTCCTGGGATTAGGGCCTGAGTGTCACTACTTTTGAAACTTCCCAGCTGCCTCTAGTGGGCAGGCAGGGCTAAGTGATGCCTCTCAAAGCTGATAGTACATCAGGATGGACTGACGCTTGTTCAGCTGCAGGTTCAGGCTCCATGGGTCTGGGGTGGGGCCGGAGATTCTGCGCTTGGAATCTGCTTCCTGGTGGTGGTGCTGATGCCCTGAGCCACACTGTGAGCTGAGAGACTAGAGGATGAATGAACACTTACAGGGAGCTGGACCACGCTCTCATTGTTTTCTCTTTCCATCTCTTCACATTTTCATTTAAAAGGTTGTCTTTCTTCAGTAAGGAGGTAGGACGTGCAAAACTAGTGAAGGCTGAATAGGTTGGTTGCATAAGATGGTGAGGTTTTGAAAGCGCGATGGTGTGGTCACTCCGGGAAGCAGACGAGCTGCAGTCCCAGCAGAGCACAGTGGCTCCCCGAGCACTGCCTGGCCAGCCTCCCACCCCATTCTGGGAGCTCGCGGCTCGTCCAGGCCCCGCCTGGCTTGGCTGCACGCCCGTGGCCAGCTTGCCCAGTAGCGATGACTCAGGCTTTCCACCTGTAAAATGGGAGGGATGACTCTTCCCACCACCTCCCCACCCATTTCCAGGGCCACAAGCCCCGACTGCCCCCAACTTCATCAAAGGCAGATCTTAAAAGCCAGGACCTGCGGCTGCTGTTTTCACTGCTAATAAATCTCCATTCGTGGCAGTTCAATTAGGAAGTCGTCACAGAACTCCAATATTGAAAGAAAGAATTAATAACCCAGCCCATGTGGGAGAAATTAGCAGCTTCTGCAGAGAGGCCTTTTTAATATAGCCTTGTAACCAGCAGCTCCTTGGAACAGCACTGGTCTCTGGGAACAGTGAGCCTGGGCTGAGCTGGGGTGGGAACGCCCGTCGGGGTGGGGGCGGGTTATTGCAAGTTGCTGGGTTGCATGTTCAAGGCGAAATGTGTGGAAGCCTCTGCCTGGTGCATGACAGACTCCTGCAATGTTGCCAAGTGCACTGTTGCTCTGTCAATATGGCCCAGCAGCCCTGGGGTTTTAGAGAGATGCCTGGTTGCTTGGAGGCCCAGGCAGGACAGGAGGGAAGGGTTAGGTTTGGGGCCTTAGGCCGCTGCTCCAACTCCTGGATGGGGAGGTCCACAGGCCCATGGCATGGAAAGGGCTGGCCCTCCGCCCAGTTCTCTGTGCTCTGGGAACAATGCCAGGAGCTCAGATTGACTCACCCGATGGGAGGGCCCAGCCTCTTGGCCCAGCCTCTTGGCCCAGCTGTGAAGGCAAGGCCTGAGGAGGTGGGGCCCAGGCTGGGGCTAGTGCTGGCCTGGGGCTAGGGCCTGTTTCTCACCTGGCCAGAGAAGGTGGCTGGAGAGGGTCTTCATTCTTTCCTATAGCTGGTGGCTGGCTGGTAGCCTTTGGCAAAGAGGTGGGGCTCTGGAGCAGGACAAACCTGCCTTTGAGGTTTCACATGTAAGCCTTGCCATGTACCTTGGCCTGACTTCTCCCAGCTGCAGTTTTCTCCCTCTCAGGGTGAATAATGGTAATACTTCCTTCCTCAGGAGGTTGCTGTGAGCACTCAAGTGTATCATCCTGGTGAAGTGCTTGGCAGAGGCCTGACCTGCTCCTCCACCTCTCATACATTACGCATGAGGATGAGGACGAGGACGTAGCAAATAGGTCTATACAGAGACAGAAAGAGAAGAGCTGCATCCGCATCAGTCCCTCCACACTGGCCCCTCCAGCTGTTCACCATCTCCCCACCTCAGGCCCCTCCGGCTAAGTCCTGGCACTATTCCTGGCAGGAGGCTGAGGGAAGCCCTACCTTTCTCGGGTTTCCATTCTAGTGGGAGGTGTGACAAAAGTGATAAGCCAATAAACGTTACATGTAATGTATCCCAAAATGAAAAGTTCTATGAAGGAAAGCAAAGCAGGATAGCGGTGAGAGATGATAGACAGACAGACAGGCAGACAGACAGATGGGATTAGGCTCTATTATTTCAAGAGTAGGTAGGAGAGGGTAGATGGAGTTAAGGAAGCTGCTCAGAGGAGGTGAATTCTGAGTAGAAACCTGCAAGAGGTGAGGAAGGGAGCCATGTTGGGACCAGCAGTTGGGTAATGACTATGTCGCTGGACTCCCATGTAGTCGACCGCAGTTCGAGTCCTGGACCCAGTGGCTTAAACTCATGCCAGGCACATGTGTGTACATGCCCAAGATCCCGAGAGGAGAATAGAGGAGAAGGGATTGCGGTGTGGCCATCTTTCCTGGGGGGTAAATTCTCACTTTCTGTCTCTCTCTTTCTGGAGAGTGCATGCACCCTATAGCAAAAACCTCCCCCCCCAAAAAAAAATAAATAAAAAAGGGAAGGGAGTCATGCAAGTAGTCAGGGAGGAGAGGGACTAGAAAGTGTGAATACTCGAAACTAGGTTTGTGCTGAGTCTGAGACTGCGAGAATGTTCTAGAAGTGTTCTGGAGCTTAGTGAATGAAGGGACTGTGGGGAGAAAATGAGGTCATGGGAGCAGATCATGGTGTCTTAAAGACCACATTAAATATTGCAGATGAATTACAAAGTAAAGAAGTCTAAACCTCAGGAACCAGGCCCTAAGTTTGGCAATGCATGGTGCCTTCAAGTCTTTTTTATTTATCTATCTATCTATCTATCTATCTATTTATTTATTTGCCAGAGGACACATACAGTTGCCAGAGAAGTAGAGGGTTGAATACACTGCTCCACAGTGAGGCATGATCACACCATAAGGCATGATCACACTCTTTTCCTCCTTCTCGCCTTGTTTTCAGGATTTTGCACATGTACACACATGTGCCTGGCATGTTTTTCAAGCCTGGGGCTTGAACTCCAAGGTCGGCTATGTGGGATCCAATTCCCTTAACCACCAGGCCACAGGTTGGCCCAGATGCCTTTAAGTTTTAGCTAGCTTGAAATGGAGAAGGAGAGAGTACACTTTAACAAAGGAAACTTATGAAAAAGTTGACTTGCCCTCAGTTTATTGAAAAAAGAAAGAAAAGAAAATGTTGAATTCTCAATCAGCTGTTTTATATAGAAGAAGAGGCATCTGTTCCTTAATTTATGAAAACAAAACAAGTTAGAACAAAATTTGCTCAAATCACTTAGGGCACTTCAACAAAGACATAATATTTGTGGAAATACAGTTGTCAGGGGCAATGGTTCCACATTTATGATGACAACAGGTGACAATGGTAGGCAGAGCATATTGTATCTCATTTTCATAAAATCAGACTGCTCCTTTTGAGCAGAGATTTCCCATCACGTTAATTTCTTTTTCTCTTGCCCTCAGCTCAGCGATCCGCCCACGAGCTGCCCATGGTGGAAAGACAAGACATCGACAGCTGCCTGGTCTACGGGGGCCAGCAAATGATCCTCACTGGGCAGAACTTCACGGCTGAGTCCAAAGTTGTGTTTACTGAGAAGACCACAGGTCAGTGGTTTTTTTGAGCTCTTTGTCCTCTGGAGCCATAGAAGGTGACCATCTCTTTTTTTTACACACATTGATTTGAGGAATGGATCTCATTATGTAGAGTTTTATACCCTGCACTTTTTACTCACTGTGTCTTCAGTGATTATGACAGATGCATAGCTTACCATTGCATGCCATATTTCAACTGACCCTGAGTTCTTTTGATCACTACTAAGCTTATCTACTACCATAAAACTCTTTTTATTATTTTTTTTCCACGCAGAAAGGCCAGCTTTTTAAATGTTTTACTAGTATTGAGAAGGAAGGCTGCATAGTATGGTGATTAATCATGTATGCTCTGGCCCTGAATTTCCTGGGTTCAAATCCTGCTTGTTCAATCTGTGGTCTTAGGCAAATTACCTAACTTTGTGTGTCTCAATTTCCCCTTGTGTAGAATGATAATAATGAGTTTTGACCCTGTGGGATTGTCACAAAGGTTAAAAAGCTTAATACATATGAAGTAGGTATAATAGCACTAGGTAAAATAATAATAAGTTATACAGATGAGGAAACTGTTGCCCAGAGGGGTGGCCATGGGATGAAGAGTCCATAGATGTTCAGTCACATAGTAAATGCTTGATAAATGTTAGCTAATACGATTTGTTATTGCTATGGCCAGTAGAAGCTGTACTTCGAGTACTGTACAACCATTCTGTTTTTCCTCACTTTCAGTGCGATAAATATTCAGTAAATTACATGAGATTTGCAACAGTTGATTAAAAAGTAGGGTTTGTGTTAGGTGATTTTGCTCATCTGTAGGCCACTGTAAGTGTACGTGTTGTGAGCATGTTTAAAGCAGGGCGGGCTATGATAGTCAGGTAGGTGCATTAAATACATTTTCACCTTAGGGTATTTTCAACTTATGATGGGTGTATTGGGAAGTAACTTCAACATAAGTCAAAGAGCATCTGTATCTTGATAAGTTTGGGGAGAGGCACATTTTTCAACTGGCAGGCCAGCATATAATACTCTCTATGGCAAGAATTTGCTAGACTCTCATGAGTTGGAGAGCAAATTGATATCCCTGGTTAGCACTGGGAAGTGTGTTTGGATGAGTAGAAAGAGACCAGAATAGAGAGGTCTCCCAGTGCCAGGAAGAGACCTGGTCTTGGTTTGATCTGGGAATGTGTAAGGTCATAGGAAGTCATTTTGGGTTCTTGAGTAGGAGAGTGACATGAAATGCAAATGACCAAGTAGAACAGCCTCCCCAGCTTTGATGCATCTCCAGGACCGGGAGGTCACCCTGGGACTTTCTGTTAACACTCACAAGAAGCACGTGGCTTTCAAGTACCTTATTGGTAGAGGAAAAAACTGCTAATAAGATAGAAGCATCTTCTCAAGTGGGCAGATGTTGGCAGAGGCCCAGGTGGGCTGAGGCTCATAAGTGAGGGTAGGGTCACAGAGTGATTTCGGGCCAGGTCACTCCAAGTTCTTCATGGAGGTAGGAGCCAGCCACCAGCTTCCTGGTATCCTGAGAGCTCACTTACTTTGAAGCTCCCAAGGGCATCAGTTAAGTAATCACTGAATGAATGAATGAATGAATGATGGTGGGAAGGAATGGGCAAATAGGAAATGAATAACATTTACTCCCTAGCTTCTCTTCTCTTAATTTCTGAAGCAATTTCACACATTTACTCTGTGAAGTCTGGAAAACCCAGGGCTTGCTTCAACTTTGAGTCTAGAGTGTTATGAAAGTATTGTGTTGTCGGAAAAGTCATGATGTGTTTTTTTCTATGCAAAAAAATGCAAATGACCAAGTAGAACAGCCTCCCCAGCTTTGATGCATCTCCAGGACCGGGAGGTCACCCTGGGACTTTCTGTTAACACTCACAAGAAGCACGTGGCTTTCAAGTACCTTATTGGTAGAGGAAAAAACTGCTAATAAGATAGAAGCATCTTCTCAAGTGGGCAGATGTTGGCAGAGGCCCAGGTGGGCTGAGGCTCATAAGTGAGGGTAGGGTCACAGAGTGATTTCGGGCCAGGTCACTCCAAGTTCTTCATGGAGGTAGGAGCCAGCCACCAGCTTCCTGGTATCCTGAGAGCTCACTTACTTTGAAGCTCCCAAGGGCATCAGTTAAGTAATCACTGAATGAATGAATGAATGAATGATGGTGGGAAGGAATGGGCAAATAGGAAATGAATAACATTTACTCCCTAGCTTCTCTTCTCTTAATTTCTGAAGCAATTTCACACATTTACTCTGTGAAGTCTGGAAAACCCAGGGCTTGCTTCAACTTTGAGTCTAGAGTGTTATGAAAGTATTGTGTTGTCGGAAAAGTCATGATGTGTTTTTTTCTATGCAAAAATGCATCATGACTTTTCCGACGACCCAATAATAACAGTTCCTCTTATTGGACATCAACTGTGGGGGTGTCTTTTGTGGTGACTTTCCACAAGCCACCTCAGCTAATGGACACCTGTGGGAGGCAGGGCAGGAGGCATACCCAGAGCACTATTCATTTGTTCAACCTCCCTGGGCCTTGGTTTCCCTTCTGTAAATTGAATTAAGCGCACATAAGCAGAGCGTGTGGCGTGACTTTAAGTCTTCCAGTATTATCATCGCTCAGGCCATGAGCATTGCCTCTGACACTAGCAGGGGCTGGGTAAGCTTTGGGAGGCTGTAAGCTGTATAGGCTCTGGGGTCAAGTGGTCCGGGTTCAAATCCCTCATCTGCATTTAGTAGCTGTGTTATCCTGAGTAAGTTACTTCACCTCTCTGAGCCAATATTTCTTCTTTTATAAAATACAGATGATGATTTAGTTCTCTCAGGAGGTGAGGAGATGAAATGAGATCACACAGGTTAGGCTGTTCACATAGGGCTTGGCAGATTGGAAATGCTCATTAAAGGTTAGCTTTTTTATTATCATATCATGGCTGTGGAGGGACAAAGATGAGTAAGATTTTATCTCGTGGAACTAAGAGACATTAAAGAATAATAAGTAATAATAATAAATGGTGCCAGGCATTGGCCTAAGCACTTTATGTGTATTAACTAATTTGATTCCTCATGACAACCCTCCAAAATAGACTGTTCTCCCAATTTTACTAATGAGAAACTGAGCACAGAGATGTTAAACATCTTAGTGAAGACCACACAGCTGTAAATGGTAATAATGGGATTTGATCCTAGGCAGCTATTCTACTCTGAAAAAGCTTAGAACCAGGCCGATTTGCTTGGAAACCCTTCAGTTTCTCTGAGTCATGACTCAAACCATTTGGTGGTGACAGAGACCCTTGGATTCTGTAGAGGGTGGCCCGAGAGGATCCACTTCAGCTTTTTCATGCCTAACTGAAGACTCCTAGGTGTGAGTGCAGGTCCTGGACTGATGACAACAGACAGGGAGGGCCATGGGATACACCTCTGAGTCTCCGAGAAGGGGTGGGCTTCCCCGTGTGGGGGGTCTGGCTCAGTTGTTGGGGACCAGGGGGCTCACCTTGAATTTGCAGACACTGGTCCTGCTCTTTTGACCCCGTCAGCTCGCCCTCCCGAAGCCCTGCAGCCTGGACCGCCTTCTGCAGGGGGAATCCCTGTTGCTCAACTTCTTTTTTCCAAAATGCATTGCTGTTCCCATCTCCATGGACATTTGGCCAGCGAGAGCCCTGTGGGGTGGGGAGGAACAGCTGAAGTTTTCCGAGGAAGGGGAATCCCAGCTGTTTCTCACATTAAGAAAAGGTGACAGCCTCTGGGCTAATCTTAGCCCCGGGGTTTGGTCATCGGCACCACCATTCCCAGCGTTCTTTTTATAGCTGTCGACTAAAATGGAATTGGCAGTTAGCACTCCGGCAAGATGACAAGTTGAAGAACGTGGAAAAACAGTAGGAGAGGGACAGCGTGGTGTTTCTTAAGTTAGAAAAGCTTGGTGTTTTGGAAAACGGTATCTTATTTATAGCAGCAGTAATAATAACGGTTATGATGTTATTTTTGTTTCTATTTTTAATTATTTTCATGATTTACCAGAGTGTGTGTGTGATCCGACGGGTCCCCTTTCTGGTCTCAGCTTTTCTCTGATGCTCGCCTTCTCACTTGGCGACGGTGACACCATCTTCATCTGTCCTCAGACCCCCACACTTGTTCTGTCTCGGGATCTGTGCTCTGGCTGTCGGCTCGTGTATGTGTACATTTTACACCAGAGGGCACATGCATATGCATGAGAGAAAGAGAGAGACATGCCCCCGGCCCAGGCCTGGTCATGCCACAATCCTTTTCCCCCCAGTTTTCCTCACCTTAAGATCCTGGGCATGTGTGCACCCGGCATGTTTTTCAAGCCCCCAGGGCCCCTGGTTGGCTATGTGAATTCTCCTTCCCCTGTGCAATGCTTAATCACAGCGCTGTCTGCGGGCCCTGCTGTTTGTTCTTAGCATATGTCGCCACCACTTCTCTTCCTGTACTGCACGTCTAAGCTCCAAGGGCCACGTTCCCACTGAGGCCTTTTTTCTTTACCTTTTTTTTGAGAAAGATATTTGCTATAGAGCATGTGTGCTCACTGGAGAGAGAAAGAGAGACAGAAAGAGAGAAAGCAATAAATCGCCTGCCCCTGCCATGTGCGAGTCCAGTGCCTTAACCACTGCAGCACCTGCTGGCCCCAGTGAGGCCTTCTTTGTCCATCTTCTTTAACCCGCCCAGCCCTGTCTCCTTCTGCTCTGCTTTCTTGGTAACGCTCAGCACTGCCGAAATGATCTTGTCGATTTGTTTACTCATTTATTATTGGATCACCCACCCTGAACTTTTGTTTGTTTCTCAAGAGGAGGTGTTTGCTGCTGTACCCTCAGCATCTAGAACAGTCCTGAGCACATAGTAGGGGCTTATTCATATTCTCAAATGGATGCATCCTCTCCTGGAGTTCTAGCCCTGAGAGGCAGACAACACGGTCCCCATTTTACAGACGAGAGAGCTGAGGCTCAGAGGGGTCAGCTGTGGGTTCCAGGTCGACCCACAGCTGGTGACAAAAACTAGAATCCCC